CTGGAGGTGCAGCAGGAACACGAATAGTTGCCACCGATTCTTTTTTTCAGGAGCAGCTTCTTAGCAAAACCAGCTTTATACTAACCCTCGTTTATAAAGCAGTCTGGTGAGAAATGAATCGCGCAAACATGAGCGCATTGACGTTGATCGTGGGGAATATTCCCTTCGAAAACAAAACTCAGCCACTGCGTCTTCAGCGGTTCGGATTTAGGAACATTAAAATGACTGCTGTGTTCGTTATTACACCCAAGAACAGAACTAAAAGCTCGCTCAGGGCGGGTCTGTGTTGAAACACTGCTGTCATTCAACAATCGTGGGAGGGGCGTCCGTTTTATTGACGTCACAAAAACGAACGACTCGATTTGAGGCAGGGGAAAACGTATAAGGAGATTAAAACAAAAACACTGGATGGATTTTTATCATTATATGATAGTTGTGTACAGGCACTGCCAACACACATTTCAGTACAATCAACTAATAAAAGTGCATGTACCATTATATCACCCCTTTAAGCAAACAAAATGATTGGAGGAGACCACAAAGTCATCTGTTAATTATGACCTTGAACAAACATTACAAGTACATAAGATCAACAGAACATGAGGAACAGAATTGAGGAAATCCACCAACATACAGCCGTAACAAAAAGTCCAAGAACTAGCACGTAGAACATATTGCACACAGATAACATGAAGATGAGAGGGTGAATTTTAATTTGAATGCCAACTGAAATGTTTACATTATATTTGAGTTTTTTTGTTGTATTTTAGGTAAAATTATCTGATCAAGTTTAATGCTTCCACTCTAATTCAAGATGTATTCATTTATTACAAATTAACTAATCATATAACAAATTAATTTATTCCCTCACTGTTTTTGAGCCAGCTTAATTGTATTATATAAAAGGTATAAACAAAATAAATAATTAAATACTAGAATATATTGCTTGTTTAAATAGCTTCAATATAGTGGCTAACAGCTTGCAATGTAGTTAACATTAGTTGCCATTAGTTGTTGCTCGTTGCTTAACTGCTTTAAATTATGTGTGGCAGACTCACTTGCCCGACACTCATTATCTGTTGCTAAATGTTTTCCTCACAAGGCACAAACAAAACTACAAGCTTGAGGTAAATATTCGCACAGGTGGTGCGTTTAATTAAACAATTTTATGGTAGAAGTAAAAAACAAAGTGATGCTATAAAGATGAGAACACGGGGGCGATCAGCAGTGGCCAATGTCGGCGAGGCTTGGAATAGGGCATTGTGGGCGCATGATGAGAGCGAGTGTGACGTGGCCAGATGTGGCTGACCAGCAGAGCATAGGAGCGTTGAGGTGACACCCTGTTGAGTCACCCAATCAGACTTGAGACTAGGGCTCACTGAACACGAGCTATTGGACACAGGCCGACGATACACAACCTTCAGGCAATGTAGAATGTTTTTTCTCTCAGAGTAATTGGAGTGTATATGTGCTTTTATAACCTTTGCCCTCTTCAACAAACATCATGACAACTCAGGGATTGTTCTGCATCTTGCAGCCGTTCTGTTGTCTAATGGCATGCATGTGCACCTTGGAAAGTTACTGTCCTCTCTTATATTATCATTTATCTTGTCATAGATGGATGCGGTCGCTGTCCTCTCATTAGGTTGCTGTGATACACAAATGTTAACATCTCCATTATTTCTGACTTATTCAGACAACGGACGCCAATTCTTGAAAATAATTGATGAAGTCTCTAAGAGGTGAGATAACAGTGACAAAGTATGTGATACTGAAGACTGAAGTAACAAATCTGGAAATTCCGCTTTGCTTTCGCAGGAATAAATAACATTTTAAAATATATTACAAGAGAAACCAGTTTATTTAAATTGCAGCCTGGATGAGATTAAAAGACTACTTTAATAAAAAAAAAATTTTTTTTAACTTAATGTTTCCAAACTTGTGACTGTTACTTTATCAAATATGACATACAGTATATGTATGCAAAGGATGACTTGGGCGATTTACTTTGAACCATTTAGTTGGTATGAAGTGTTGAAAACAGCATATTTTTCCATTATTTCTTCACTGTTTGCTGACCAAATCTCAATGTGATATGTGGATGCAATTTGTTTTCATGGATGGACAAAAAAGGTCCCAAACTATGCAAATACTGATCAGAAATTGATTTACACATTTTCTGAATAAAAAGTGCAATCTCACCACCACAAGGCTACAGTTGCGTTAAGGTGTTTGGAATGTTTTTTTTTTTATCATGTTGCTATGCAGTTTCTAGGCTATTTTGGGTTGTTGCTATGGTGCTGCTTGGTGATTACTAAGGAGTTTAGGGTGGTTGCTTACTGGTCCAAGTTCATGGGGCTCACCTCCAAGTTTCTAAGTTATTCTGGTCCCTAAATATGGTATATAAAAAAAAAATAGCAACAGTTCTTCAGAACATGATTCATATCCATTGTTTCACAGCAATATTAATAACCACTAACTAAAAATATACTGATTTTGGTCAGAGAACTGAAAAAATCTAACGGGACAGTTCAACTATTATGTCTCAGCTCAGCTTGAAAACATTTTATTTAGAACAGTTTTGTGACCTCCTGGGTATAGGCAAATGATTGAATGGTGCCACTGGTTTTTGTCTCACAACAGCTGTTTGCCTGAATTGCTGGAAACCAATTGTACACGTACTAATGTAGCCAATTTAATTTAAAAGACATTTAAATGCTAATAAGATACTCGCAACAATCTTGTATTGCCTCAACAGCTCTGAAGTAGCCCCCTGGCAGACCCAAATATTGTGATTTGTTTCAGTTGTTACTTGTACAACACACGGTTTTTCATGATCATTCTCCAATGGCGAAGCAGTAATTCTTACTCTACTGATGACTAGCGGGTTAACACTGTTGATTCAAAAGGTAATATTTCTCCATGATTAATTCCTTTAAGATGCAATCTCTATAAATAACAAATGAAAACAGCAGAATGTCTTATAATGGGCGAAAAATGAAAGGAACCTGATGGTGGGAAGGAATGTGAAGTCGGGGGCGACTTCATCTGAGCTTAATTCATATTTAAAGACTTCCTTTATTACATCTTTAATAGCCTTTTTTGTTGGTATCCCTCAATATTTGGCTCCCAGCACAGTTTAATTCACCTCCCATTGAGTTGAGTGGCTCAGAGCTTTCAACTTCTGACTTTCATCTCCTTTCTTTCGGCCTGAGCTTTTATTGCTCTTCAGCTTTTCCTCAGAGAATTAATGCCACCATATTGGACCACACAAAACTCCAATACAAGTGCATAATAGTATGAGTTCAGAGAGATTTACTGTTTGGATTTTAATATCATAGTAAACTGAAAAACTACTGCAGATGAACTTTAATTGAAGATATCAGATTAGAAAAAAGCTATTAAATCATTCCCTCGTGACAAGGAATGGAAATTAGGCAACTGCTTCTTTACAATATCAATCAGGTTGATGCCACAGTATGAAGATAACTCTCCCAGATTTCATTTCCAAACTAGGGATAATTCTCATATGCCATATTATTAAGAGGATTAGGTTCAGAAAATGAATCATGATGCTTGTAGTGACAAGCAGCACTGTACTCTCACTATATGGACAAATGCGGATGAAATGCCCACATCTGCTCTGTAATTTGAGCAGGTTTCTTTAAAAGGCTATATTACATATTTTATGAATTTATATGTCCTCTATTTTAAAGATGTACTCTATAATTAAAAAAGGCTTTACCAAAAGTAATGAACAGCATCTTTGAAAATTCTGTTTAAATCGTGTAGACTCACATCATCGGTAGCCTAATAAAAGCTGTTTTCTGTTTTAATTTTTACATTTGCCTCATTGAGACATGTTGAGAACATATGACCATACATACAGCTTGCTTTGTCTCAGTAACCTTCCTATTATCAGGAATTTTCTCAATCATCGAATAGCCTAAATGAATCATGTCTGACACGAATAGGTCATAATGTGATTTTGCATCCACACCACTAGGTGTCAGTATACCAAGACAAACACCATAAAAAATGACAGTTCACCTTAAACAAATTTTTTTTTAAATGAGAACTATTATGAGAGCTAGTGCATACAGTACTTTAACACAGCACTGAAATGTATTTATCATTCTTGTTCTCCAATATAGTGGTGATCTAGAAAGTTTAACAATATAGAATACCGATGCAACATCTTTTGACCCATAATGACTGTCAAACTCTACTACAAATCACTCAGTAGACACACAGACTAAAGTTCAGACTATGTCAGATACAACTTAATGAACTATACCTGCAAAGGCTACAGCACAGCTCTGTCTGCTCCTGTTTGGGTTAATGAGTTATCGAAGCCTAATTAATTCACGGTTAATTTCTAAATTGAAGTCTGTGAGTTTCCATTACAATTAGAAGGACTCTGTTTATGAAGCGTTCCTTCATCATGCCTCAAAGAGCAGCTAATATCCTACCTTCCATTTCTCTCATCTGAGGAGAAAAAGGCAAATTTTCCTCTGCCTTCAAGGATTTAAATAATAATTTTACTACACAAGAACCCTAACCCTCCAATTCTATTGACAAAGAGAAATAAAATGAAAACACACAGGCCAGATGAGAAATATGCCTCATATCCCCTTGGCTCTAATTGAACAAGAACTGGGTCAAGCTCATGAGAAATTTAATTTGAACAGATGTCAATTAATACCCATTATGTCTTTACTTTGAAAAGCAGAATCCTCCTCACAATCTCTTAAAGCCTGGCACTTCACTAGAGATTTAGTTAGATCCTCTGTGATTTGTGTCTCATCTTTTGGAAATCAGTTTTACCTTGTAAGGAATGTGAGTTAATTAGTTTTTTTTAGCTCTCTGGAACATTCAGACATTGAGACAGTGAATGCCACAGGAATAAAGACTTGGTATTTTGCTAAGAATTTGATTATTATTGAGCAGAATCCTTGATAGACCACCCCAAAACGCATATCAATAAGAAAAGGACTTACTTGAGTGTAAACTGCTCCACAGTTGAATTTGGGACCAAAAGCAGGTAGATGTTGAGGATCTCTCCTGGCTTTAATGGCCTCTCTGGTAACCTCAGGAAGAGGTTCGTGTCAAGCTGTTTGTCTACCACCAACTGTTCCTGACTGGGCTGATACAAACTGATGCTCCCAATACGCAGAAGGGGTTGTTGGGATGAGCTCTCCCCTCTGGATGCCCCTCCCCGGCGTGGGTAGCTCTCCCCACACTCATCATTGCTGTCTGGATCATGTAGGGTATAGTAAAGCTCCACTTGAAGGGTCTCCCCACTTAACTCAAGCCCATCTGTTCCTGAAGACTTTCTGCGACCCAATGGTGCTACATTAACATTAAACCACGTGGAAGGGAGATCCAGTTGGGCCAAGCATTGAGCCAGATTCCCTTGAAGCCTGCAGGAAGTTTTGATCTCCCGAACATCTCTAAAAGCATGCAGCCTCACACATGGAAGCTTGTCCTGAATCTTAAAGTCATCCCAGTCCCGTCCTGCAATATAGAACAGCACCTGAACCAATGGGTTACTAGCAAACACTCTAGACTGTACAATAAAGGCCCGGACCTTCCAGTTGACCGTCAGCCTTCCAGGAATATCCAAAGGGCTTGACGGCTGTAGTAGATCTTTGGACAATGTCTGGTCTTGGGTGAAAGGCCCAAGTGAGATGTTGATTGCAGGCAGTTCCTTAGTCTGGAAGACCACAAAGCTTTCAGAGCGCTGAAGAGGGTGTCCACGTTGGCTGCCATATGATGTAACTCGGGTCTCCTGGAGAAAGAAGGCCAACTGTGTGTTGGAGATCTTAAAATTAGCAGGGAGGTACACTTCTGGTGGACTGGAGGTGGTACTAGGAACAGGGACGCTGAAGAGGGCATCGGAACTGGTAGGGGAAACTTTACCAGCAACTGCAAAGACAAAACAAGAAGAAATACTGTTAAATATGCACTGAAAATATTTGGTGATAGCCAAGAATCGAAATTGCTAACACACAGGTTCAAACTCAGTAGAGCAGATTTAAGAATTTAGGAACTCTAGAGTTCATGGAATCCTGCTCCTGTTTAACACTGAACCCTTAAGTGGGTACTCAACTTCATACAGCTTTAGAGGGGACAACCCTTGAGTTACAGCTCTGCAAGTGGCTATTGGATGGAAAACGTGACAAGTAGTAACGTGTTGGCTTGATAAAAAGCGTATTCATTGCATTGAAAGGAATTCAAGATCTTTTCTGTATCTGCTGGTGGCAGGGAAATATTCTCCATTTTGCAAGAAAGTGAACAATGTTTTTCAAATGAATGCTTGTTCTCCCTTTCATGCCTCGAGAGCTCAGTTGGCTCTGACAATAGATGCTGATTAACGGCATGCAAGAGAGAGAGGTTTTCAAATGAACTGTTTCAGATGAGTCGGGTGTGTAGAAATTCAAAACAATGAGCAATACATTGGCTTCAGTGAGAGGATGGAGTTGATCATCTTTGACAGAAATTCTCACTATTTGGAGTGAGGAGATATATCGAGTAGCATGCAACAGTTTGTCCGATAACATATTGTACACAGAATACATCATTGATCTCTATCTCTTGGGCTCCTAAGATTAACTTCCTAAGACTAGATGCCCAATCGATTGTTGAGAAACTTCAATAGGCTGATTATAATCTGCCTGTACTGTAGAGAAATAGAGACACTTGGACTTTACTAATATTCAAAGCAAAGTTGACCAAATAAAAAAGCTATAGAAAACACTGTTGTGGAGTTACTGTATGAAAAGGGATACAACTTACTTATCATAATGACAAGGCGAAGTGAACAGAAAATCCATGGCAAATCCACTTGAATAACAAATTGTCCCATATTCCACAAATGCTTTGCATTTAAACTGGGTACTTCACAACTTGAATCACTTCACAGGTACACAAAAAGAGTATCCATGCAGCTGAAGCCAAACTGTAGACAATTCTTTACAGCTGTAGATCAAGCTCAGTTCAAGCTTTGAAAACCTGCTCAAAGTCTCCCAACTTGAAAGCGCACGAGTAGTATCCTCTCAGTAGTAATCCAACTGTATCCAGAACCTGCTCAAAGATCTGAAAGACACTGATCACTCGTGCCTGTTAAGAGGCTCCGAAGACACCTCCTGCCCTGCAGCATGATCGGAGTGAGTTCCCACTAGCATTCGCTCACTCCATCTATTCTCTGCAGTTCCTGTTTGATTGTGACTCCTCCTATCAGATCCCGTTCTCCTCTTACAGCCCGAGACAAAGCCTAGACACCGCCCTGTCTCACCACACCTCACCCCAAACTGTAATAAACTCTTTTGCTCTCATTCACAGCCAGTGTAAAAGCACTCCTCCCAGGACACCAGCGTGGCAGACTACAAACTACCCTATTACATTCATCTTCTCCCACCAGACGTGTCGAGGCAGACTCTGAATGTCTCTGTGTGAGGGAGAGTGTATTTGTTAGGGGGGCTGGGTTTGGGGGAGGGATGCATAGCTTGAACGCCTTCAGGCAAAGAGTGGGGGATTAGTGGGAAGATCATTGACGAATTAGCTCTCCTCCTTTCCTCATCCAACAGCCCCTGGAAGATACATTTGAATGGATATGGGGGATGGGGGTGGAAGGTGGTGGGTACTCTGCCCTTCCAATCACTCAGAGAGTTCTCGAGAGCTCAAAGGAAATAAACTATAATAAGTGGGATGATGCTCTGTGCCAAGCTATCCAACTACTACTACTACAAATAAAATGCCTGCACAAAGAGCAGCAAGATATCATTAAGAAACATTTCTGACCAATGCATTCCTCAGCTGGAATGCCACTTTCTGTGAAGCAAGTGACATTGTTGAGACTTCTTTCAAGAGAGGTTCCCTTCTGCTCCATTACATTTCTGACGTTTATCATTGTGCTCATTCAACGGAAAGCCCAAAGATTGGGTTTCACTCACACTCATACTGTAGGTTTGAACAACTTTTGGTGTGGCTGCGGGCTGTAGGAACAGATATGACAGATATGAATACCTCTTAAAGGGATGAGCTAATGCCTCTGAAAGCCAATCCATTACAAACACATTAAGCATCAAAGTGCTAGTTTTCCAGACACAGGCAGTCTAATGTATATGGTTTCAATAGCTTCATCGGATTATGTGCTTCCAGTGCCCCCAGGGATACACAGTATGAGAGGTCACAGATTCTAATACATCACGCCCATCATTGCATAGGCTCTGCACTGTGTCAGAGAAGGCACATATGGGACTACAACATGACACCAAAAAGCCACACCGATCCCTCCTCCCAGCCCCACTAATAGACCTCTGGGTGTAGTGAGACCTCTGGGTGTAGTGGAGTGGCGGCTGCTGTTGCTGAACTCAGTAACAGGATACACATCTGTTGGTCAATGACTGTGGCTCGATACAATCCTGGGGGCTTTCTGTAGCTTTTGAGCTGCAGTCTTATGAGAGATAATGGAATTGTCATGTGTAATACGCCTTTGAAATGTCAAAGTTGCTTTGTTTAATATAACTTGCCAATGCTGTCATTTTTTCTCTGTAATCCCACACTTGTTTTGGACTTGTGGGAAATGCAAGATGCTGGAAGGAAAATAAGAAATTCCCCACAAGCATGTAAATTTCCTCTGAAATAATCTGTCTAGTGGGGCAAATGCTTTAGGCAATAATCCATGCAGATTATTCTTAGAAAAAAATGTGACAACAATAAGCATTAGAAAATAAATCCCCCACCCACATGCATCGCACACACATTATGAAAGTGTGCATATCGATTGCAATCTTGAGGTTGCCATTTGTTTCGGAGTCTGTTAAAGTTTGAAAATGCTATTTAAAAATTATTTTTCCGGTTTGTATTACTGAACAAATTGAACAGAGTAGCGTGTTAATTAATGAGCTGTACCTCAGAAACGTCTCTATAAAGAGACACGAGAAGTGCTAGTGGAATTGTTCCATTTGAATTATTGCATTCGAGTGTACCCAAAGGAAATGTGCATAGAGGAAATTGAATGAAGAAGAGGCAGTGAGAATACAAGATGTGACATGAGATCAAAGATTGGGATGATGCAATTTGAAAGGTAAATCATTATAAGGAGAATGCAACATTCGATTTGCAAAAAACACGCATTTGCATTAGGCCTATTCCATGATTGATAAAGTCACATCTGTTAAACCTAGGTAAGATTTCAATTCATAAATAGAAGTAGCATTTTAAGTTGTGGTACAATAGTTAGAAATACAATAGTAGTCAACTAATTTTGGTTTAATTTTTAAATACATTTTTCATTAATACACTTATTTTGTGTACCATAGACTTTATGTAGTCTACACATACTAAAGAAAGGCGAGAACTGTGTTCTTCGATACATTTATTACTGTTTCATGCATTAGTAAAAACCAAGGCATTGCCTAAACTTTACGCTGGCCTTCCCAGCAGTCCATCACATTTAGTATAAATTGTTTCAAGAAAGTGAGCTACGTGACATTACAATGCTCCCATCATGCTATAATCACTGAAGCTGTCACGGCAAACTAAAGTGAAATATAAACCATTTATTTGTCTATCTATATCTGTGGATGAGGCTGCTGAAAACTCATTAGGTGTTTATTGTTATTGACAGGTCTATAGAGTAACTTAAACGCCTCTTATTTGCATTCATGAGTCTGGGGTTGGTTACAAAACTAAACCGAAGCAAAAAAGAACATTTTGATGCAGCCTTATTTTTAGTAGACCTAAATGGAATGCTGTAATCGTCAGTTTCACGTTTAGTTAAACACAGCAGCCATAATCATAATCTTGATTATTCTATTAAATGTCCAGCTCTTTACAGTTGTACTAAGGGTTTTATCTAAGCATCATCACACCTTACTGCATCTCATGAGTTCAGCGGGATTCATCAGTTAGGCCAAATAAAGAATTCATTAATTCACCCAAAAAATATTCAATAGGAATTTATAACAATAAGAGCTCTGGAGCGTCAACCAAACCTTTTGATCCAAGGCTATGGTAACGAGCCTGTCAGTCGCTGTAATTCAGAGGCTATAGCGAATGAACTCTGGCTTGAGTTAGCATGACAAGCAACAGTTGCAAATGAAGTGATTTACATAAGAAACAGGCGCTCAGGCCGTTAGCATCACGCCAGGCCTTGGCGTATCACAAATAGTGACTACTATTGCATTGCATTCTCTTCATTATTGCACTATGGTTTCTGTTTTCATTTCAGAGGAAATGTTTAAAGGGAAATGGGCCTTAAGATATTCAAACTCTAAACCGCTGACCATATTTTGCCATTATTTCAGCATTCAATACCAGGAGGCCTAATGTATTTGCTCCTCTTTGCACCACTTGCCCTTGTCTGTCCTACAAGTGCCTTTTGCTATGAGTGGATGGAAATTTACTTAATAACAGAACACGTGAGATACTGAGCGGGGAGCTCATTGCTAATGCGGTGCCATTGCTTTGCTGCAAAGTCATTTATGGTAGAATTAAATGAAAGGGAATGAGGAGATTTGTCATTAAGAGTTTGACAGGATATAAATCAGAATCCAGTGAATTCGGATGGTGAGGCGCATTGCCACAAATTCAGATTATAAAATATTTAAGTGGCTAATTATAGTAACTAAGCAAAATGATGATTCTATGCATAGTAGAGAAAAAGTAGCCTCGTTTCCAGAAGCTGTGAAAAAGACAGTGTTGGAACGATAATTTCAGCATTTGAACGTGTGGCATGAATAAAAAAAAAAAAATCATGTCCAAAGAAAGATAATGTTTGTATTTATTAACTAACTAAATTATTTTATAACCATATATATTACTTTATAAATACATAAGAACACATATTCAGATACTGATGCATTATTTTAGCATTGCAATGTCATTTGCCTGGCTTGGAACTCAAGAATTGGTGTATATGTAATACGATGTGTCTGAGATCTGAAGTGTATTCAGACCTGCCCGCAAATACACACACAGAGACGCACACACAAGTAGTTTTGCTAACTGCATTGATTGTATTTTAGAAGACTGTTTAATGAGCCTGAAAACAAAAACAATAGGGAAGGGCCCATTCCACTGGGAATACTAATGAGTGTATTGACTGAGAAGGTGTCTGGGTACGTTGATAAATGATTATAAGTATAAAGCACATTGCTTTCACCTTCATAAACAATACAGTTTGTTGCATCTTCAGTGCACAGACCAGATACTAAATATCTGGGAGGGGTTTGAAACCATTTCAAAAGAGCTTTCAATGGTCTTTAGTTTATTATTGTTTCAAATATGTGGATTCCTCATTTTAAGTCTCTGTAGAATATGATATAAATTGCTTAAACGTGAATGTATACAACCCGCCAGTACGGAATCATTGCCCACAGAAAGTTCTGCATAATTTAAACGCCAGTAATTCACAAAGTTGTACATATTCACTCATCATTTAACAGATATTATGGCTAATTTGGTTATATGTTCAGCTAAGAGTGCAGTATTCTCAGCCCATTCTCACACATTTTTCCATTTCCATTTGTGTATTTACGTTTTGTAGATCTTCCCCCACAATCAGTAGAGAAAATGTGAAAAACTACACCGATTAGGGCGCTTTGGTTAAACAACGTAATTTTAATGAAAAAGCATGCAGAAATCCTAACCTGCTGTCAGTTACCTTACCATATGAAAAACTATATTAGATTTCACAGAACAATTCATGTAATTTTATTGAACAAAACATATATATTTTTATGACTATAAAAAGAATGATTTACCAGATAATTCACAGGAAAACCCATTGTATATTTATTAAGAAAATATACGTGCAATTTCACAGTAAAATATTGTTAAAATAATGTTTGTGTAAGTATGAGTCACTTTATAAATTATGTTGAATTTATTCAAAAACTAGTTTCTTATACTTTTGGTTCAGTTACCTGTTATGGTGCTTATCAGTATATTTTAAGGTACAAAGCAGATTTTAGTAGTACAGGAGGCTTTGTATATTAACATTATATCAGTTATATCAATTATATCAGAAATACATGGTTAATGCGTAACATGTCTTTTTTTATTGTACATCTGAGTGAACCAGTTTATTAAAAACATGTATAAAAATTATATTATATACTATATTATATATGGGCCTATAAAAAAAGAAAAGAAAAAAGCTAACTAAAAGATTGAATGCCAATCAAGATTAATAAGATGCATTCGAAAATAAGGACGGTGAATATTCCTTTCATGCCGACATGAAAGCTTTAGATGGAATATGGCATGTCACCCTGCAGGGATTTATGCACATTTTACATGAACTTTAATGCCTGAAGCATTGTCATCACGTTTTAATTAGACATGACTGGTACACCACATGGGAAAAGTATGTTGCAGAGCTCATATTCATGAAATCCTTATTACATTTCGGTCAATAGAAAACGGAGG